ATGGTGTTCAAGGAGCTGCAGACGCCCAGCTGGAAAACCTTGGCTCAAATAGGCGACAAGCTAAAAGAGGCATGGAAGCATATCGTGAAAAATCGCATGGGATGGTCGAACATCGGTACAGAGACCAGGCAGTGATGATTTTCGTTAATTATAAAGGACCAGTCAACTGTTGTTGACAATTTATTTGTGGACTGATTTAGCCAGCTGAATGTGGTTCAGAGCAAACTGTAGCCATATAACGCACATGATCAAGCGTCTCGCAAAATCTAGCACTGCGATCTAAGGGTATCAGGCTGTTACCAGTGTTCAAAGACAAACGACTTGCCATCTGTTTCTCGCTTTGCTGAACCAAATCGCAGCGCCGTGAATTTCGTGTTCAAAAGAATAAATAATTTAATGAACCCCCCCCCCTTTCTCTCCCCACGATCGGCCGTTCCCGCTTCTGATATAATCTATGCCCCGTCGTGGTGGGCGATCAAGCAGGCTAGTCTGCCCGAAAGGATACCAACTGACGATCATTACCGACCATTATTTGAGTCGAGCTATGTGCTTGATCCACTACAACTTCTTCTTTCAGCTTTCGATGACAACGTCCTTCACTGCAAGGTCAGTTTTGGATGTGATCGCGATGTGAAATTCTGACATTCTTCTTTCCATAGCTTTCTCGGGTGACAGAATTCGCGCAATACAACGTGAATGAGCAATTAATAACAGAAATTCACGTCGCGCTTAAGGTATGCAAATCCGAACGACCTTTTATTGCGCCACTGATCCCTTTCTGGGCAGTTCCCCATCGGAACATTAGCTGAAGGTAGTCGGCCATTGATTTAAAAAAATTAATTCGCGTCGTTTTAACAGTTTCACATGGCATAGCATCACAATGATGAATGATGCCCATTCGATCGAAACGCACTGCTTTATAGCTATGGAAAGCACCGAATCGGTCTAAATTTCAAACGCTATCTCTATACTTGTTTAAGAAAAGAAATATAATAATTTCATGAATTTCCGTTTCAACTGCTTTCAGACAGGAACGAACAGTTACTCGTGTGGCAGGCCATCATGACTTCAATGGCTAAGGAATTTTAAGGCAGATCTAGCACAACGTATGCCGGTTGCAATCTAACAGTGATTCACATATGCATCAGGTAATTATATTTAGAGAAGGTCGTTGTCGACATCAGGACTTACTCCTCCGACACATACTGGGACCAGTGCGTTTTTAAGTGTAAGGAAATTAGTGGAACCCAGCTCAAAGACTGTCTGACTCTTAACATCAAAGTTGTGGAAAAGATTCCGTATCTTGGAAGTATACTGGCTACAGAAGGACGAGTGACAAACGAAATTAAGAGGCCCTATGAGTTGGCACTAGCGGCAAGAAACAGGTTATTCAAACTTTGAAAGAGCAAAGATGTTGGCAATAGCACAAAGCTGTGGATATATATGGTTTGCATTCTGAACATCTCGCTCTATGGCTTCGAGACGATAGCACTTAAAACTGATACAAAGCTGAAAACCGATAATTGGAAGGAACGGAAATGAAGATTTTAAGGTCAATGTTAGAAATGAACTTTAATGATTCGATTTCATGCGCGGATGGTGATTAATTAGGGCATCTAAATATAGTGACTGAATGGCTGTAAACAAGGCATTTAAGATGGTGGAACCACTTCCAGCGAATGAACGATAACCGCACTGTTATGCGAATACTGCAGTCAAACTCTGATAACAAGCTACCGCCCTAACGACCTCCAACAAGATCGAAAAATCTCGTCAGAAATGACAGCACTGAAAAGACGGAGAGTGAGAACACATTTGCCTTATTTAAGAGCGTCGTCCGTAGAAATAAGCATGTTTAGAAATATGAACAACACGACTTTTATAAAACGACAGATGTCATGCAGATACTATTCCAGAGTAACAAAATTCACACATAAACAAAGACACTGCTGCATGAAAGTCTAGACTGTAGTCATAATCGGTTCTGAAACGAGGACTTCAAAAAACTAGGTAAGAACACATATCACTGGTAATGCATATGACAGAGTGTAGATAGAATTCACAACTGTACGTCAGAAAAGAGCTATGCACCGAACAAACAAGTTTTGACCAAACAGTGAAACGCTGGCGAAGTGGTATGGATGTGGGAGAAGAATCCCTCAAAGCAAATCGTAAGCAGAAACTCTGGCAATACATGACGAATGATATAGACGAAAAAACGCTCAATAAAGAGATGGACTCGTGGCGGGAGAGGAACAATGAACGGCGCAGAAAAACATTAAATCAACTTATCAGCCACTGACAACGATGCAGGGAAACTGAACTACTGAAATGTAATGAACGAATAAATAAACGGATGGATGATTGGAAGAACTGGTAAATAAGCGGGGCTAACGAATGGAAGAATTTGCTAACTAAAGACGAAACAAGTTACTCAAAAAATTGACGAATGGAGGAATGAATGAATGGTATAATACATATGTATGAATAAATGACTGAAAGGACGGACGGCTGGACAAACGAACCAATGAACACCGAGAGTTACCACTACCTATTCAGGTGAGATTCGCCTTTCACAAACTGGCAAGAAAAGACTTATGGCTAGAGAACGCAGGCAAATAACAATGTCTAGGCAATATTGAAATAGCTACTTTCGAGAGAAGAGAGGAGCGTCAAGGGCAATTTCGATGATGAGCATGAGAACTTTTTGGACAGTGACTCAGTGGGTACGAGGTCGGCCCTGAAGTTCGGAGGTACAGGGGGGGTTCGAATTCGGCAACAATTTATCATAACTGCTTATTTCTTATTTTCTTTCGCATAGAATTCACCTCACTTCGTCTTAGTGCAAACAGCCAAAAAACAGGTAACATGTCGTTGACTTTCGAATAATAACGACAGCATGGTGTTTTGATGTGTTTATGCCAGTTAATGTGATATAAACGACTATGTTGTCTGATACAGACGCCTTTCGGCTGCAATATATATTAACTGACTGAGTATACAGTATGATAATCCTCGCCGCAAAAACATGAAAAGACTCATCTAAAGCAACTATGGCGGTGCAATCACCGTGAAATCTGGGGCTGAAAAACTTTATTATTGGTTATCTGATAATCAGCACAAAGCGTAAATCCAAAAGAAACTTCGCCGCACGCTGAGGCGACGCGGTAAAGCAGTTGAGGTGGAAAGACCAAATACAGTGATCGGAAGTACGTCGAGGAAACTGAAACCATGCTGGAGACAACGAAAAATGTTGATAACAGAGTAGGGTACTTCCTTCTCAGAAAGATGAGTCATAAGTTAAAAGGAGACTTCACGAAATTCGAAACAAACTCACAAAAACGGCTGGAAATCGCCGAAGCCTCATAAAATGCAGGACGTAATTGGCTCTCTATTGACCAATTGACAAGGTATAAGAAAAGGCAGGACGAAACAATACCGGACAAGGGTCGAAATGGAAGTCATCTGCAGGGACTTGTATTGAGTTCTTTGAATTGAAATAAGACCTCATCATTGACAGTACATCAGTCGGAAGACAGAGTACATTTGATCCTTGTTGGTGAAGTTTCCCACGCAGCCTACCAAATGAAAAGAGGGAAGATTCCATGAAGAGACGGACAGACAAATAAAATGATAAAAACGAGAGGTCAGAAATTTTGGAAGGCTACCGCACGGAAATCTGGCCTGTATCTAGAAATGGAAAAGATTCCATCGCGCTGGAGAGTCAATCACCACATAATTCTAGTAGATAAAATGACGACTGCGAAGATCTAATAACCTCTAAGAACTTTCATCCAATATGACTTCTGTCATATGTCCACAATCTGTTTATAAAGATAACTGCGAATCGGCTATCGAAAAATCTGTACCAGCAGCAGACGAAGGAGTAAGCCAGACTTCTAAAAAACTTTAGAACACGAGACAACTTCATTCAGAACCAAATGCTGGAATTCTCGAGAAAGTACTATGACGCTGTACCTAAAAGATCGCCATCGAACTCCGGAGATGGAGGACTCCATTTTGTCTGAGGGCAATCTCTGTCTAAACAACGAATTCCCTTCAACAAGGAATTTATCAATTTCTCCTCAGACCGGGGTTGCTCAGTCAGTAGAGTGTTCAACTCAGAACCAAGAGGCTCCGGTTCAAAGTCCTGTCCGCGTGGTCACTCGCATTCCTTCCTTCCGAGGAAGTAAATGAGTACCACTATGAGGAGAAAACAGCAAACTACGCTACGCTTGCCAGTAGCTGCTGTCTACTCTGCTGTCAAAAAAATAAAGCACTTTTCGCCGGTGAAATGAAAATGAAGTTCAGCGCCTCATCATTAACTTCATCATCAAAACTGTGCCATAAATAGCTTCCTCATGAAAGTGCAAGGAAGATCGAAATTCCAAAGGCTACAAACTTTCCTTTCCGTTAGTGCACTACCTTTGCTGACTACGAAAAGGCGTTCGTTCGAAACTGTCGAGCTGTACACGGCGTAGAAAATTCTTGCAAAGCAGGGTCTTGCTGCATGATACATCGATCTGCTGCAAAACAAGAACTGCGAATGCACCACGACCATTCGTCAGAACGCTACTCAATACCACCTTCGGATATCACATACGGGGTGACGCAACGATACAAAGTTTCTTGATTTTCGCGACTGTTCTGGAAATAATGTTCAGACGGACAGGCTGGAAAGCAAAAGATGTTTTGTTGTTTGATGTCACTCTCTGAAGACGGACTGAGCATGATCAAAATTTTGGATTTTGCGCACAGTAGATTTGTCATGCACCGTCAACATGTAAAGAATCGATCAGCAGAATGACAGGAATGTTTCCATCGGACATGATAATCGACACGCGAAAATGACAGACAAACTGCTCCTCAACGGTAAAATTCATAACCGTCGCCAAATTTACGATGAAATTACCTCCGTCATTGACGTAACAGGCTGTCATAGAAAACTGCACCTTGGCTTTGTGGCAAAGCAAAGAAGAGCTACCTTTGCTTAAGGTGCCCTCGCATCTGCGGGAAACCGTTCGTAGATACGCTGCGAAATTTGCCAGACTTTTGCCGTCTACTCCGGCAATACGATGAAACGATCATATCGAAAGAGAGCAATGCACAATTCATACGGTATTGCAAGTGAAAAACAAGTACCACATACATAAATCTTGCACGACCATTTAAACCTTA